AGCTCCGGCTACTTCCTTGCACCCAGCTTATCTCACATAGCACTGCCCACTGCCTCAGGGCTTCTCCGTATCCAGCCCATCCCAGTTCACCACGACTCTGCCTACCACAGCCCCTGCCTCGACTTCCAAAATACCCAGATCTTACCCTACTCTTGCCACAGCGCACAACCTGGTAGCTGCCAACATAGACAGTCCCTCACACATCCCAAGATTCTTCTCATTTATAGTAGAAGTCTCCAGTTCTTGTGTGATCCTGACTATGGCTCCTTGTACTGCTTCTTTCTGTATGTTTACAATATTTTTTCTTTGATGTGGGAGCTCTGGATTATGGTAATGGAATTCCTGGGACTTTTCTTTTTGTGGTTTCTTTCAGGAGGTCATCACTGAATTCTTGCCATCTTTATTTTGTCCTCTGGTTTTAATTAATCTAGGCATTTTTCATTTATAATTTCTTGAAATATACTGTTTGGACCTTTAAAAAATAATGATTTTTATGGAGTCCAAAGATTTTTATATTATTGATATAATTATATTTATATATAAATATATATTATGATATAATTGTATTATATTATAAAACAAATAAAGGAACTTGTTTTACACATTAAATATTTTTAAAAGCCATTATGTTACATTTTCTTAATTTAATTTTTTGGGGGTTATTTTTCTTGCTATCTTATGTAGTAACTGATTTCTGTCTGGTTTGTTTTAATTTTTAAAGAATTTGTTACTTCAGTAAGGTTTGCTACTTTTTTCTTCTAAACTATTTATTCTTCTTCCAATTCTTTCCTCCAGAGCTTTTATTTAATTTTTTTAATCATTTGATTAATTTCTTCTAGATATTCATGTAGTACTTGTAGAATAGCTATGATTTTCCTTTGAATCTCTGCTTGTAGTCATTATGAAATTATTGTCTTTTGTTTGAGTATCTCCAGATCTACAATGATTTTTCATATTTTTCAGCCTGAATTCCTGAATTACAGTTTTTATACTAGGGCCAAGATCTGTCACTTCTTGCACTTTGGTAGGTGGGTAGGTGGTGGTAGCTTATTCTGGATCTTTTGTTCTTGTGCTGATCTTCATATCCTGGGATTAGGCTCAAAGGATCTCTGAGGTTCAGAGCACTGGATCTTCAGAGCCCTCTCTGCTATTTCAGAACAGGACCCGGAAACTCCAGGGTTGTTCTGCTCTGCATTTACCTGTACCCCCCTCATGGCTGACAGTCCTCAGGGCTTTCATGATCTGCACCCTGGGACTTTCTGACCATCCTGGGGCTTTCTGATGAGACCCCTCTGCTCTTGCTACCTCCACATAAAGCCTTTCAGCAAGGTTGTGGGCTTGTTAGCCTGTGCTGGCCCTGGCTTTGCATGTGACCCCCTTTCCTATTGCCTGTGGGTTTCTCCCTTACAGTCCTGGACCTCTGTAATCTGATGGATGTTTTATGTTTTGGGGGGAGCAGGTGTGGGGTGCAGGTGTGCCTCTGTTCAGGCAGCCATCTTGGACAGAATCCCTTCCTTTCTCTTCTATTTTTAAAAATGAAAGAATGTGACCCTTTGTCCTCAGGTCACATTTACATTTTCAGCAAATTATGGTATATATGGTAAGATATTCTAAACTTAATTTCTGCTAAAATGATTTTCAGTTTCCCCAAGAGTTCTTGTATAAAAAGAAAAGGTTCTTATCCCTGAGACATATTTTATAGAAATCAGAGGCAGCATTTTCCATCACCTCTTTTCATATTTGAAGCTTTCAGCCTTTCCTTACTGGGAATTCTAGGCCATGGCTATGATGGCTGAAGACAAAGAGAAAGGAAGCTGACCATTCCCAGAAGGCATCCAATAGAGGCTTACCCAGAGGGCAGGCTAGGAGTTTAAGACAGTCACAAAAGGGTGGGGAACAGAGGGGGAGAAATTTCCTCTTCCCTATGACTTGACATAGGGGATTCTTGAAAGGAATTTTCCCCCAAAATCTTTGAATGGTACACTGTCCCAATCCTTTCAAAAACAATGAGGGTTCATGTAGCAGAAGTGAAGGAGGCAGGGGCCAGCTCAATTTGGCTGGGGTTATTCCAACTAGTTTTTTTCCTTTCTTTTTCAAAAATTTAAATAGTATTTTTTTTCCCCAATTACATATTAAGAAAATTTTTTTTAGCATTCCTTTTTACAAGATTTTGAGTTCCAAAATTTCCTCCCTCTCTCCCTTCCCTGCTTCTGAAAACCAACTAGAGTTTTAAAAACTGTCCTTTGTTTCGCTTCTGTAATGCATTTTTTTTTTCAGTCAAACGCAGTTCATTTTGATTGAATTCTTCGGGTCATATTGAAAGGGGGAAAAGAGTTGGAGGGACTGATTAGGATGGGAAAAATAAGCCAAGCAAAGCTTGAATCATTATTGGAATATAGTTATGTCTAGATTTTAGATAGAAACCTGGTAAGCCCCAATAGGATGGAAAGACTAGGGGATGCAGGGACTGCTGTCCTTCCTTCACATGTGCTGAAAGCCAGGATATTGAGTACTCTGCACATGTGTGGTGCAGTGAACTTATATAGCAAGCTTTCACTGCCATCTGGTGGCTCGCACAGATAACTACTGAAAAATACACCCCTACCTGCTACACAAAAACATTGATCCTGCCTCTGGGATGGAGCCCAGTAAGTGTAACATTTAAAGGCTGTGTTGGTAGATATTAAGTTCTGGCATCTTTTATCAAGTATGAGCAAATCTTCAAATATGTGTGCAATGGAGGTGGGGCCGAGATGGTGATTATAGGCAGCCACTCAGCTGAACTCACCCAACATTCCTCTCTAAACAACTTTAAAATAATACCTCAGATCAAATTTTGGATTGGCAGAGCTAGCAAAAGGTTGGGGTGAGATGTTATGGCTTAAGAAAACTTAAGAGGTTGGCAAGAGAAGTCTATAACACTGTGGTAGAGGCCTGTCCGGAGCCTAAACACAGCATTGACAACAGCAGCAGCAGCTAGGAGAGCTCCCAGTCCAGAGGGTAAGGAGTTCTGACAACTGGTCAGAAAGAGATTAGAGGGGACCCTTTGCTAACACTGGGTATAGCTGGATGCTGATTGGCAATTCTATTGCCCATAGGAAGCTCTGGATCACAGTTCCAGGGTGGAGAGGAGCACTGGTGGTCAGTCACAAGGGAACAGGGGACCTGGTCAAAGTTCCAAAGCAAAGAAATGTTCTAGATGGTCAGATCTACATTTTAGGAAAATCACTTTGACAGCTGTCTGGAGAATTCAGTGAAACAGCCAGAGACATGAGGCAGGGAGACCTATCTGGAGGCTCCATATTTCAGTCCTGAAATAGTCTGAATATACCGAATACTGAATAGACTGAAATAGTTGGGCTGAGAAGTGAAGAAAACCTGAGTTCTAGTCTGGCCCTTGATGTTAGTGACTCTGGGCAAGTCACAACTTAGCATCATAGATTTAGAGGCCTGGCAGTCCACTCCTCATTTTAAAGATGAAGAAATTCAGAAGTGAAGTGACTTACCTATGGTCACTCAGCTGTCAAGAATCTGAGGGATTTGAGCTCACACCTTCCTGACTCCAGGCCCAGCGTTCTACCAGCTGTGCCTTGCAGCTAGTCAGCCCCAAACAACTCCATGACTCTAAATTGCATACATGCATTGGTAGAGACGCATTTTCTGTCTGGGAGCTCCCCACACTAAATGGAATGAAGGCTCTCCACCCACATCAAGTATGGCCTGCGTTGTATGGCGTGAGCTTTTTGTTATAAACAATCTCCCGGCAGAGACTTTCCACAGGTTTCAACAACTGTGTTTTCTTCTAGGAAGCATTTCATTACAGCTTTACATTTTATGTGTCTAGTTTAATTATATCTTGGAAATTTCACATCCGTTTAGTTGTCTAAGTTCTCCTTGTTTGGAAACTTCATTTAGAACTTCAATGACAAGCGCAACTTGTTACTTTAGTCTTGGAAAAGACTTGCTTGTGCCACACGAAAGTATTTCTAGTCTTTGGGGCGTCTGTCTCTTCTCCAACCCCCCTGCATACGCCGATCGGAAACTTTCCTTAAATGTTAAAGCCTGCCTCTGTCCCGAGCCGAGCTGACCGTGTATCTCACCCCTCTGTGGAGTTTTCCCGCCATATTTTACTCTCTTCCCTGGTTGTGGGCATTCCCTGCTCCCCAGGGCAGCGCCGGGAGCGATCAGGACTGCAGGGGAAACACCGTTTGCCTTTGCATCCTCGTCCCGGGCTGCCTAAAGCGACTCGGGTGGATCAGGCGCCTGGGGCTGGCTGAGTGATGAGGCTGAGCCGGGGATTCTGCAGCCGGGATCTAGGGGGAGGCTAAGTGGAGGGGGAGGCTAAGTGGAAGGCGCCCCTTGCCGCCAGCGTCCGCGGACCTGGGTTCGAGTCCTTTCTCCTGGGTCTAGGTCTCTGGGTGGAGCGCGAGCGCTTGCAGCGCCGGCTCGGAGCTCGCCGGACTCACGGCTTGGAATCCTGCGGGTTTAGGCTAAATGCCCGGGGCGGGTGTGATGGGAATCCCCGCCCGGCCCGGGTCGGATTAGTAAGCAAGGACGTGCGCCCAGGCGCACTGCGGTCCGTCTTTCGCTTATTGCAGTGATCCGGTCACCGAGGCAAGGGCACTGAGCGGCAGCCCGGGCGGGTGCCCTGCGAGACGTGGGCGAGGTTCCCGGGCGGGGCCGGAGGCGGGGCTCTCCCGGGCCGCCCCCGCCGCCCGCAGGCACTTCTGGCCAGAGGCCAGGGAGTCCCAGTAGCCCACCGGGCGGTAATTGGCCGAGCGGAGGGCGCGCCGGCACGTGGCTGCCTGCCTCCTGCGCCCCGGGGCTCGGTCCTCAGGCCGCCCAGCCGCTGCTCTCCCGGCGGAGGGCAGGACGAGGACGCCGCGGGGGCGGAGGCGGAGGCAGGAGATCGCCGCGCTCGGACGCAGTCCGCGCCTCGTTCGCTCGCTCGGGCGGGTGGCCGCGGGGATTGCCCGCCGCCCCCGGGGCCGGGCCGAAGCATGGAGGGCGCCGAGCTGGCCGTGCAGGTGCTGGGCACCTGGCTGGCGCTGGTGCTGAGCCTCATTCTCCTGCCCTCGGCGTTCGGCGTGTCTCTGGGCATCTCCGAGACGTACATCAAGATCCTGGTGAAGACCCTGGAGGTGAGTGCTCGCGGGACCCCCCGCGGGGGGCCGGGGCCGGGGCCGGACCTCGGGCCGCCACCATGAATCAGCAGCGGCCGGGGCAGAGCCGGTGGCTCCCCCTCCCGCTGCCTGCCCAGAGGTGACCCCTGGAGGACCTCGTGGTCCTTCCCCGCGAGTGCCCCTGGCCGCTGGCACGCTGACCCGCAGGTGACCGCCAGGCACCGGCTCGCCCTCACCTGGCCTGCTCCGAGTCTCCCTGGCTGGCCCGCTTCCTCCTTTTCCTTCCTGCAAAACTCGTCCGAGACTGACCCGCTGGCCGCGGATTCCGCCGTCAGCCCCACGCGAGCCGCAGTCACCCGCTCCCCACTTCCTAGCAGCTTCCTCGAGCGCTCCAGCCCTGACTCACGGCCCCACGTCACTCGAGCTGTAGAGGGACCTCTTAATTCAGGGTTTAATGACCATCGATCATCCCTGTTTGCCGTCTTCCCCCTTCGCCCCATTCCTGTTTGTCCAGCCTGAATACTCATCCTGACCCGTCCTCCCAGACCCGCTCCAGCATTTCTGTGTCACTTTGTGTGGCTTTGGTTTTTTCCATCTGTTTGTAATGGCCGTGCCCCTGAGTACAAGGATTATCTTGAGAAGAGGGTAGGCTAAGACTTAGCCGCCAAGTAATGGCCAAGAAAATAGAGTGGGTGGTATATATACCGCGATTGAGTGCCATCCACAATCGTCTCAGGTGGAAATGTACTGCTTATTTCTCTGAGTGCCCTGGTCACAGGAGGAACCAAATGAATGTGAATTGATTTTTTCCCCCTTCATTTTCTTCCTCTCCCATCCGATTTTCTAGGGGAAAAGATTGATTAGGGAAAAATCAAACTTTTGTTTGGAAATTTAATGTCTTGTTGCAGATGGTTGTCTAAAATCTAAAATCTATGTGAGGCTTTTTTCTCCCTTTGCTCTGTAGCTTCAGGGGAACTTTTGGGCTTCAATAGCCCAACATATAGACCAACTCAGTGTTTCTTCTTACTTCCCTTTTCTCCCTGTTGTTTTATCACCAAGATGTCCCGATGGCTTACTCATAAATTGTCATGACCTTCTATAGCAGAACTAAAGAAAGCATAGGGTTTTGGATTCGGGCGTCTCAGTAAGGCTACTTTCAGTTGTAAATAGCTATGTGGATTCTAGCAATTTTATTAAATACATTAGGTTTTCCAAAAGTTTGAAAGCAGGCTGACCGAAGATGGTGTAATCAAAACAATATGTTCAGTTCTGCTATGGATGGTAGATGGCAGCTATAATTTGTTTATTTTTAAACAGTTTAACAGAAAGGGACATAATAATTGAGTTCCCAATCCCTCAAAAAATAAATCATTCCTCAAGTTTCCATTTAGTTAAATGCTATGAATTTTAATAGGCCAAACAACTAAATGCATTGATCTAGGTATACATAATAACCTAAATATTGATTTGGTTCTATGCTGCTGAATAATCAAAAGAGTTTAAAACAATGTCATGCTTTGTTATGAGGCACTTTTTACTCACCAAAAAATTATTTTGAAAGTGTATGGCAGGAAAAATAGGACAAACCTCAAAAAGGGAGGTGATGCCATGACATGCAAGTGAATTGAATTTAAGCAAGGGAAGGCTGTGCAAAATCACTAGCCTAACTTTCTGCTTTGGAGCCATCTGGGTCCAGTGACAAGATATAGATTAGGGCTTGGTTTGGAAACCCTAGTGGGATAGGATTGCAGGTAAGCAAGCATCTTCCTTTGTGGTTCTGAATTGTCTTGTGAACTATGCAAATATGTGTGATGGGTCTTTCAGTAGAGCCTTCAGGAGAATTAGTTCTGAGTCCTAAACCAGTATCTTTAAAGAAAATAAAAGGTGTTTGGGCTTCATCTCATTGGTTAAAATGATGAAGGCCATTAGTAAGTAATTGCTGAGCTGAATCAGTGAAAGATGTTGCTGTTTCTGGGGCACTCCATAATTATAAAAACACAGGTCTGGACCAAACAAAAAAAGTTCTAGAAAAGAAAATGTCCTCAGATTGGTTCCAGTAACTAACTTGTTAACAACTACAATGCATGTGATTTTCTCTAATCGTGAAATATTTTAATCCTCTGTTCTCTTCTTCATTGGGACACATTTTGGAGTTCTTTTTTTCTAGAAGTCATGATAATTTGAATTAAGCGGTCTTTACTTGGCAGAGAAGGCAAAACAATGAAATAATTGAAGACTAGCCTTTGATAGCATAATCAGTTTTCTAATTGAAGTACTGAAGATTTATGGAACACGCAAGTGTAGGTGGCATTTTCTTAAATTTTTGGTTCAAAATATTTAGCTAAAATATTCCTGATAAGTCTAAGTTGTAATATAGCCTGTATTTTTTTTTTGGATGTACTTAAAGATTGTATCACTTGTTTTAGAAACTTCACTTTCTTCTAGCCCCTTCTAATCCATTAATAATGATAGAAACTTCTCTTTATGCCATGACACTTTAGGGAGAGTTTTAGACAGAGTGTGTTGGTCAGTATTTAACAACTGGCTTTTTGGACCATGACACATAATCTTATTTTCCTTATCATTTTCTTAAGTCTAGATGATCAACAGAAAAATAAATCAAGTCCTGATTTGTTTTGTTTTAGTTTAGTTGTTTTCAGGCATGAACAACTCTTCACAAGTTATTTTTGGAGTTTTCTTGGCAAAGATACCGAAATGGTTTGCCATTTCGTTTTCCAGCTTATTTTTCAGACGAGGAAACTGAGGCAAACAGGGTTATGTGACTTGCCCAGGCTCATATAGTTAGTGTCTGAGGCTGGATTTGAACTCAAGTCTTCCTGGTACTATACAGGCCTGGTATCTACAGTACCACCTAACTGCCCTGATTTGTAGCATTGGCTGATTTCTGAGATGTAACTGCTCACGTTAAAAATTTAAGGAACTTGGGAGCCAAGACGGTGGAGTATAGGCCTGGATCCAGATGAACTTTCTCAATATTGTCCTCCAAACAACTTTAAAATAACACCTCAAATCAGATTTTGGAGCAGCAGAGCCAACGAAAGAGCGGCGGGAAATGTTTTTCCAGCCCAAGGTAACCTAGGAGGTCTGCAAGAGAGGTGACACTGGGCTGGGTGAAACCTCTCTAGGATGGGTCTTCAAGGTGGTCACAGCAGCCGCAGCAGCAGCTTTGAGAGCTCTCAACCCAGAGTCTTTAAGGGGATTGAACAACTAGTCAGAAAGATTACAGGGGACCCTTTCCTGGCACTGGATGCTGCTGGCACTGATGGGCAACTCTATTGCCCATAAGCTGTTCTGGGTCACAGTTCCAGGCTGGAGAGTAGCGCTGGTGATCAGTCACAAGGGAGCAGAAACCCTTATCCTAGTTTCAGGGCTAAGAGGAGCTCCAGTGCTTGTGGCTGCAGAACAGAAGCCCTTTCTGAATAAAGACCAGAGTACAGATCAGGAGACCAGTGACCACACCTCTCCCAGGGTTATATCACCGGGAAGCACTGAAAACTTACAGACACTTCTACCTCATCCCCATCCCCTTCCTCCCCCAAACTAACTCTGAAAACAGCAGCACAACAAAGCCTGAAGCTTGGGACTGTGCCTCCCCACCCCAAGGTGAAAAGAGTCCAACTTTAACATAAAGCTCAAAATGAAGAAATAGTCTGGGGAAAAGAGCAAACAACAAAAAAAGAACTTGACCCTAAAAAGCTACTGTGGTGGTAGGGAGACCAAGACATAAACTTAGAAGACAATAGTGTGCAAACAGCTACAAGCAAAACCTTAAAGAAAAATGCTAATTGGACCTAACGCCAGCAAGAATTCCTGGAAGTATGAAAGAAAAGATGAGTGATAGAGGAAAATTTGGGAGAATAATAATAGTGATATAAGCAAATTATGAAAGGAGAATTAACAGCTTGATTAAAAGAGGCATCAAAATTCACTGAAGATAATATTGCCTTAAAAAACAGAATTGGCCTAATGGTAAAAGAGGCATCAAAATTCATTGAAGAAGAGAACTCCTTAAAAAGCAGAATTGGCCAAATGGAAAAAGAGGTACAAAAACTTACTGAAGAAAATAATTCCTTAAAAATTAGAATTGGGCAAGTGGAAGCTAATGACTACATGAAGCTTCAAGAAACAAAACAAAGTCAAAAGTAAAAAAAAAAAAAAATAGAAGGAAATGTAAAATAGCTCATTGGAAAAGCAACTGACCTGGAAAATAGATCAAGGAGAACTAAGTCAAGAATTATTGGACTGTCTGAAAACCATGATCAAAAAGAAAGTCTACACATCATATTTCAAGAAATTACAAAGGAAACCTTGCCCAATATCTTAGATCCAGAAGATAAAATAGAAATAGAAAGACTCTTCCAATCGCCTCCTGAAAGAGATAAAAAAATTAAAACTCTCAAGAATATTATAACCAAATTTCAGAGTTCCCAGGTCAAAGAAAAAATGTTTCAAGCAGCCAAAAAGAAATAATTCAAGTATTGTGGGGCCCACAGTCGAAATCACACAAGATTTAGCAGCTTTCATGTTAAATGAGTAGAGGACTTAGAATGTGATATTCCAGAGGGCAATGGAGTTGGATTACAACCAAGAATAAACCTACCCAGCCAAACTGGGAGGGGGAGGGATGGATATTTAATGAAATAGAGGACTTCCAAGCAGAAGACCAAGAGAAGCATAAAAAAGCAAACAAGGGGAGGAAAAAAAGGCAAATATGAAAGTAATCATAAACAACTCAATCATGGGAAGATGACACATGTAACTCCAAAGAACTTTATCATGATTAGGACAGTTAGGCTCATGACTGTGAGCTGATTATGTTAGGATGATCTCCAAGAAAAGAATGTAGGGGTGAGAAAGAGGGGTGCATTGGGAGAATAATTTGTTTTTAAATAAAGAAAGTTGTAACAATTGACTCTCCATTGCTGACTCTAGCACACCCCTGGTTTTAGAGTTCTGTCCCTGTGTGGGGTAAAATTTAATGTTAAAATGTTTTTACAGATATTTATTCTGTTTTCCCAAAATATTCAATTGGTTTCCATAATGGCAGTTATCTAAATGAGATTATAACTACCCGCTATGGAGATTGTAAAATAGCCATCATCCCGACTAACTACAAACTTAAAAAACATTTAGTTCACTTTCAGTGCATAGCCACTGCCATCCAGTTGGTGTTCGTGGTCCTAATGATCATAAAATGCTTCCTTGTACGTCTTTAAAATTCTGTAATATCAGATGTAAGAGGTGTTCTAGGTAATCTCATTCAGTTCCCTTGTTTTACAAATGAGGACACTGCCAAGTAGTGGTGGAGCTGGGATTTCATAGGGAACTACTGGAAAAAGTAGGCACGTAAGTGATCCTTTGGCTATGTGATTCCAACAATTTCCTCTAAAAAAATTTAAAAATCTTTAATTGCCTGTTTCCCAACTTTTTTTTTTTAAGCAACTTTATTTTTTATCACACAGTTGGTCCCCTTTGTAGTGCTAGAAACATAATTGTAGAATCTCAGATTTGGAGGGGACTGAAGATATTACCTAGTCAAACCCATCCTTGAATAGGAGTACCTTCTGCTACCCTGCTGAAACTACACAATTTGTCATAAATCTGCTACTTTTAAGACTTCCAAGTGTTGGGGAGCTCACTACCTTGCAAAGTACCCCCACTAACTTGTATTCTAGGCAGTACTCTCTTCAAAGCTGTAGCGGGAACCTTTTAATGAATGTGATGGTTTGTCATACTTTAAAAAAAATCCGGGTATACTTTAAGTATTGTAATTGCTTTAATGAGAAAATATACACTTAACACTTTTTTTTTTTATTTTTGAACAGTGGGCCACATTAAGGATTCAGAAAGAATCTCCAAAGGAATCAGTACTTAAAATGTCAGCTTCTAGTGGTAAGAATATTATTATTGCTTTTATTTTCACTACAATTTACTCAAGATTCTAATCTGGTGAAAAGGAATCTATGTTTGCATTGTATAAGATGTTAAGTTATGTTATTTTTGTTTTTTGCCGTTTCATTCATAATTTTGTTTGTTGTACACAAAGATGATAGCATGTTCCAATGGGGCTGCACACTAAGTTTTTTGATTGTAGGTGTGATAAGTGCTTAACTTACCTCTATGATCCCACTGGTTCATCTTGTGAGAAGGGGCCTGTGTTTGTGAGATAGCTAGAAAGCAGAAGGTAGAGTTTACTAGCCTGCTAGGGAATCAGAACTATGAATGGGTCAATATCAGTTTGCTGTGACAAAACTCACAGAACCAACCTGCCCCACATACTCTGTGGATTATGGGTATCTTTGATGTGATTGGTCATTGTATGTATGAATTTACTTTTCCCCTCAAAGAAAGAATTTTTAGAGCTTGTTGAAAAAAAAATGGCTCTGTAGAGGGTTAGAATCACTTAGGGACATACAGAGATTGAAAGGAATAACTAGATTTAGCATTTTGATCTTTAAAAGATGTATTTTCAGGTACTTTGCAGAGACAATGAAATCATTTCCCCCCTGACTTATATCTTAAAATGCCATAAGTATCATATCCCATTTATTGAAAGGAAATTGGTCTGCCTGCCTTTAATCCCTTCTGCCCTTCAAATAGTTTCTAAGTTAATCTTCCTAATTAACTCAGCAAACATTGATTTAATGCCCATGATATATTTACTTATCTCTTTGTGTTATCTTCCCTCAGTGAAGTGAAAGCTCTTTGAAAGCCTAAACTATTTCCTTTTAAATTTGCTTTTGCAAATCTAGCATAGTGCCTGGTTCATTATGCTTAATTATTGTTTGTTGAATGAATGAATGAATGAATGAATGAATGAATGAATGAATGAATGAATGGCTCTACTTTAGGTGCTGGAAATGCAAAGACCAAAAAAAAAAAGGTGACTATGTCACTCTGCTACTCTCTGATTCTAGGATAGGAATGCACACTCCTTAGCCTGACATAGTGTGGCTTCATCTTTTTTGATTCCATCCTGGACTGCTACGCTTTATGAACACTAGGTTGCATGTTCCTTCCACTATCCACTTTGTCTTCTACCCTTCCCTTCTTCCTTGCCATGCATGTTCATTTCTGAAGAGTTCTCCTTCTGCATTTCTGTCTATTGAGAATACTCTTTTTTTGCAAGGTCCTGCTCAACCAGGTACCACCTCCTTCATGAAACCTTCTCTGATTGCCTCAGCTTTCTATCCTCATAGTTTCCTAAGACCTTTTGTTTGGATCTCTGCCCTTCCCCTCACTTATCACATCCACTTTTATCTTACTTATTTGTATATATCCTATTTCCAGTAATGGATAGTATATTCCCTGAGGTTAAAGATTTTGGTGTTTTTCATTTTTTCTACCCTAGTAGCTTAGTATGGTGTCTTAAAATATAAATATATGTGTGTGTATGTATACATATATTTCAGTACAGTGTCTTACATAAAGTAGGTGCTTAGTAAATGTTTTATGAATTTAACATACCTTCAGTATCCAGTCTGAAGTCGATTACGTGAACTTGCTGTTCAAAAAATCTGAGCGTAGCCAAATTTAAAATGTTGTAGGAAATTCAGATCACTTGCACAAAATGCCTAAATGCCCACCTGGATTGAATATTTTATACTATAATTGGTTCAAATATGCACTCTGTTTTAATGTTTATTTTGATTAAGTTTCTTCTTTCTCATTGTTTAAATCGAAAATGAACATTGTCACTGTTTTTGATGTAGTGATTTTTGAGACCCTGTATTGTCCTGTATCAAGTAGCACTAATGAGAGCAAGAAACTTATTCCCTAGGAAGTTCTAACTATTATGAATAGGGAATCTTAAAAAAAAATTGATTCTAGCACTATTTTCTCCTTTAAAATATTAACTTTAATGAATTACAATGCATCAAATACATGCAGCCCTGTACTGGCAGGGAAGTACCAGGCTTAATGTTTCCAGGCTTATTTTGCTCCAAAACTTTCTTGACATCTCTTAGCCCTGAATATAATTCCCTTGATTGTTTTCTCTTGATCTCACTCAAGGCTTTCCATAGGTTCCACTGATATATTTCAAGCTCTGAAGTCCTAAGTTAGTTTGGGGGAGAGTAACAATAGATTTTAAAATAGTGAAGTGTGCCATGAATCTGACTTTAAATAAGTTACTTCAAGTAAGGTATGTTAGGAAGACCCACAGTTTGCCAGGTTTTAGCTGAGTGGTCATGAGTATTAGGAATACATCCAGTTATTCAAGGTTTGATGAACACTTTCCGTAATTAGCTAGTGGAACTGAACAGGAGAAACTTATCTTGTTTCTATTTTGTTGCTTATTTCCGTATGGCAAAGTGTTAATGCAAAAAGATTTGTTTAATTTTATTGAGCAGGGTTCTTTGTGATTTTTTTCCCCCTATGAAACTGAGAGTTTTATCTGCAGAGAAATATCTTAGGCCTCTTTTACCTAATTAACAATCATCTACCCTTTAACCCATGTAGTTGATAATGACAACTAGCCAGTTGTCATTCTCACCCTCCATGTTGCAAGAGCAAACAGTTAACTGTGTACTAAACTCAGGAGGAGTTGTGTCAGAAATCTTAGTCTGGTAGGGGGGCAGGGGTGATGAAATAACCACGCTTAGCACACATACTTGACTTGTATAATCTTCTGGCATTCAAAGCGGTGTTACTGAGACACTGCCCAGGGATCATCTGGGCTACTGCTGTGGTCACAGATGGGACAAAGGCCCCAGAGTTCTGTTGTGTTACCTTTGGGTTTGAATGCTGATGGTTTTTACAGTGTGCTGAGGAGGAGAGATGAGATGAAATAGTGGGATCATCCAGACCACCCCCCTCATATGACAGATGAGAAAAACGAGATGTAGAGAGTTTAGAAATATTCTGACTTTTTGATGGTGGGTTACATATACATCACATCTAACTTTTGAAGTAGTTTTTCCTTGACTTCTAAAAACAGGGAAATTGTGGGTCCTATGTGACTATATTTCTGTCTGTAGTAATACAGTTATCTCTTATACATCCGCAACTTTCCCCATCATGGTTTTGATATATTGCAGGTTAGCATAAGAAATTAAATGAGCATTTTGGGGGAGTTTTGTGCAATCTGCAGATGACATGCGAAGGCTAGAATCAGAAATGTGTAAAATATATGTATAATATCAGCATATTTTATCTTTTAATTCCATAATAATTCAGATTACTTCTTTGGTATGAAGGGAGGGCCAAAAAATTTTATGCGGATTTTCCAGATCACTGTATCCCTAAAAGCTGCCATGTGGAAGGGATAGCTGGAATTCAGCTTTTTATTGTTTTAAAGTTTCCAAAATGCTTCCTAGGCAGCATCCTATATACTAGGTGCGTACAAGTATTTACATTTTACAGGTGAGGAAAATTGAGGCTGAGCACTTAAGTAAATTGTCTTTAAATAATCTTGCAGGCTAGTCAATGTGTTAATCAAGACTCTGGATTCTAGTGTTCCTTCTGTTCTGTTTCTGTTGTTTCTGTACGGCTAAAACCCAGATGACATTTTTGTTCTTTCTTCTGTGTTTTATTAAGCCTTAACACTTCCATAGGTTGAGCTTTCAGGTTTGTTATCTGACATTTATCTGACACTGTTGTTCAATGCTGATGTTTCTCTTATCCATTGTTAGCTTTATTTTACTATGACATTCATTAAAAAGCTATTGCCTCCTGAAATATTAGGCAAAAGTTTACAAGTTAAGTCATGAGTAGACAGAGAGATTACTGTTCGTGATCCCCTTGATTTGGTGGCCTTATGCCTTATGCTTACACAGAGATGGAGAGATACATGTTTGCAGGTAGCTGTGTGCTGAAATCATTAAAGACTGCAGAGATTAATTTTGGGGGGGGTGTGGGTGGGAGGGCAGAAAATATGCAATTTTTCTTTTTCAGCTTGTTTTCTTTCCTACCACTAAATGTGTGAGTACTACTTAGCAGAGGGCTAAACTACGGAAGAAAAGGATAATTTCTTTTCCTTTTTGGGTATAGAGATCAGAAATTTTTCCTAGAGCCAGTTTTTTTTTCATATCTCCCCCTTGGGTTTTTTTTTCCTCCTTCTTTCTAACTTTCTCCCCAAATTGAATGTAAGTGATCAGAGAAAGGTAGGAGGGAAAGTTTACTTTTCCCCTCTATTTCTTTATTGCTTTTCCAAACCAGCAAGGCCAAAGTTCTAATAAGGTATTTGAATGCCAGACCTTTTTGGAAAGAAGAAGATTGCTTAACCTTTCCCTTTTACTCTACTTTTGCAGCCCTTTCTCTGTTTGCCATTTTACTGACCAGGCACGTGGTAGTTATATCAGGATTGCCTGAAAATCCTTGAACTCTGTAAAGTCTGAGGAAAAAGAGAAATTTACTGAACAGCAGAATGGAAGGAGGTTATTGGACTTGGGAGTCAGAAAGCTTGGGTCTTGCCTCCATGATTATCATCAGTGTAACTTTGGATAAGTTACCAAATATGCTGAACCTCAGTTTCTTTAAAAAAAAAAAGAGGGTTACTGTAATTCAATGAGAATGGATGCAGAAGTGCTTTGTAAAGTTACAAACCTATACAAATGGAAGGTGGTGGTAATAGTTATTATAAACATTATTCTAGAAGTTTTAAAATACTTGGCACCAGAAGTATAGAGAATAGTTTTTCTCTTCTCATGTGTTGTGTAGGCAAGGTATGTTCAGTAATGTTTGCATTAATCTAGGTGATTTCATTGTTATTCTATCATTTCAGTCATTTCTGAGTTTTTGTGACCCCATTTGGGGTTGTCTTGGCAGAGATACTGGAGTGGTTTGCCATTTCCTTCTCTAGCTCATTTTACAGATGAGGAAACTGAGGCATATAGGGTTAAGTGACTTGCCCAGGGGTCACATAGCTAGTAAGTGTCTGAGGCCCAGGCCTA